CTAAAGACAGGCTCAAAGTGTTCTCTGGGATGTCATAAAATATCCAAGTTTTCCACATGAAAGGAAGGGGAAGACCTGAGGGCCTGGCAGATAGCCCAATTTTAATTCCTAAAAGAAAAATAAACGGTTTGATTTAGTTGCCTAGGCATAGGTATGTGCTACTATCTTAGATACCCTCAAGTATCCTGCCCAGTCTGCATCTCCAAATAGCCATGGGGTCTCCTGCAGGTGCTGTGCTGCACTCACCAACCCTGTAAGACATGTCTCAAATTATTTTGGCCATCTCAGGTGATGCGTGTTTAGAGCATGGAGTTGAGTTTGGACTGGAGTCCCTGGATTGAGGAGATTCAGGTTCAGCTGACCACAGATAGGTCTGTCTCCCACAGGGGGAGCTGGACAGTTCTCCAGAGCCTGTTGGCCAGATCCCTGAGGACTATCACAGGATCTAAACTACTCAAATCATGTTGTAGGAACCTCAATTTAGGCAAGCTGAATCCTAATGGGGACAGAAAGAGAAAGGAAAAGGAGTAAGGAAGTAAGAGATGTGATTGCGAAAAGGTATCTGGTATGTTTAGATCAGAGCTTGTTTGTGAGGCTGACGCTGTACGGTCTAGTTTTCTGCTTCATTTTCTCTTTCTTGGCTGCATTACCTTCCAGTCCAGAATTGTTTTCATTTATTATTACCATCCTTAGCTACCTAATTGTGCTACTAATGAATACAAATAATCCAGGCATCAGGCTTTTGCAGACCCACTTCAGTGTACAAATAATGGTTTGTTGTGTAACCGCTGATTAGGGGAGAAGTTAACTCGCATTATGGAAGATATGTGCTGAAATGTTGGTGATGGGGAAAACACTGAATTCTGTAGTTCGCCTTTTAAATTGTGAAAATGTATTATCAGTTTTGTTCCATCAGGTTATCCGTGATGAGTAAGTGTGAGACAATCTGAGCCCAGTTTTTAAACATACGTGCTTACATTTGGAACTTCAATTTCAAATTTTTGAGTGCTCGTGTTAGCACTATAGCACATGAAATACATAGCTGGCTACCAAATTGCCTATTCAAGTGCACACGTATGGGGTTTGAGCACTCAACATTAAGCATCTGCATTTCAAAATCGGATCCCTTGTGCTTGAAAGCCTTGAAGATGCTACTCTATGGTCAGCCTAGTGCAGCATCAATTGAAATGCAGTTTGAATGCAATGTAGAGCTTCCAATTGCTGCTTCAGAAAGTGTTATGCTGAATCTGGAACACTTTGCATAATTTAATTAATTATGCCACTAAAAACTGATTTTCTCTCAATTTAAACCAAACAGCTTTTATGAGGGTGAACTGCAGCACCCAGGGATATCAGGTGTCCAAGCTTTTAATCCTATTACAAAGACTTGACAACCACTGATGGAAACTGGAAAAACATAAGCCTCAAGCAGGGCAACAAGTGAAGAGGAAGAAGGCAACAGATTTTTAATACTCTTCGAAACCACTGTACGCATTAAATCAAAATCAAATGTAAAAAGTGACAGAACTGGTAGCTTGCACTCAGTTGTGCAGACAGTGAGTAGTGTCTAAGGAATAACACTTACTTTGCTTTGACGCTAACAAAAATAACTGTTTCCTCTAAGAGGAAAATGTTCCGCTTAACTAACGTAAGAAAAACACAGCAAATGGCCAAGACTATTTGTATCTCTGTCTGCCCACTTAAAGTGTTCGGGAGTGCAACGGCCCGCAGTCTGAAAGTGGTTTCTAATATTACGGATTGGATTCTGTCTATGAATCACTTTCCTTGTAAACAAATCTTGACAGATGATGCCAGGCTACAAATACTAAAGAATCTGTCACTGGCTAAATGCTGGCCTCAATACTTTGCTTTCTGAAGCTTGTCCTCTCCCTTCCAATTTATTATTGGGTTCGATATCACTCTAAAACAATAGGCATGGCAATTTTGAGGCAGAAGGGGGTACTGATTTAGAAAAGCTCTAATTTCTGAGCCACGTAAGTAGTGCCATAATTGGCAATCTATGGCTGACCGTGAAAAACTTTGTGACCAGGTTAGGAAGGGTCACAGCAGAATTGACTCCATCTCCGTATCAAACATCAGTGTGTAACATGGAATTAACTGTACTGTAGATGATCTTGCTAATAAATGAGGAAAAGATCTTATTACTGGGAATTCACCAGCCCTATAAAATGCAAACATCTTCCTTGCGTATAATATTAGCAAATATTCATATAATTACTAATATGTATATGTATGTTATATGTATTCCTACATATATGTAACATATGGATGGGAAAGTACAAAATATTAAAGAATTTATAAAATGCTGACCTTGTTAAAATACTGTAACTTTACATGTAAATTACAGAATTTTGCTCTAGGTGTGAAATACATTTTACAAACATATCCTTTTTTATCCCTGTTTTTTATAAAGAACGAAAAATAAATGTCCAAAAAAAGAATTTTCAGTGATGATGAAGATGAGGGAGTTCCTAGTTAACAAAACAAGACATTCTGGCTCAGATTCATCTTACTTAAGCCGTCTAAGTCTGAGCCATTTGTGAAAGCTTCTTCTGCAGTTACTGTACCCACGAAGGCATGCCCAGAGGCCGTTCATTCCATTTGTCTCTTGCAGTCTTTCCCACTTCATTTCATGTGGGCATTGCCTGATCTCCAGGCAGTGCTGACTTATCTGAATCGCGGTGCAATCACACTTAATGCTAAACCAGCCAGCGTAGAGGGCCTGTGCTGCCTTCACGTTAGCCACAGCAGGACAAACAGTACCACATCCAGCATGAAACCAGGGCAAGATGGACAAGCAGCGTGTGCTCTGCTGCAAGATCTGCCAGAACAAAGTTCTCGCCTCGACTTTTCTTAACAGATGCAAAAATTAAGATCAGGCTTGTTCCTGCTCAGGATTTGACATTGTGTAGTCAGATTTTTGGTGGTTGTTTTTTTCATGAAGCCTTAGGTGCCATAAAAACAGCTTTATTATTTTATGGACACATATTCTATGATGGGATGAACAACTATTTGGAACTACCTGTTTTCCTCTATTGAATCTGCATCAACACTTACATGCTGGCTAAAATTGAGTGAGATGAACTCACTTTTTGTGTTTAACTCTCGTTTCCAGGGTCTCATTTTTTAGTGGAAGAATATTCAAAATAAGTGAAATGTGTGTGTCACACAGGCAAAAAGCACAAAATTGGAGAAAAGAAAATTAAAAGGAAAAAAAAATATTTTTCCAGCTAAGGTTTAGCTCCTTCAATTATGTATGTGTTTGAAAGTAGGTTCATGTTTTTTTGAGAGTCTCTGAATTCTCAAAATATAAGAAAACATGTTCGCTTATCAGAGGTGATGAGATTCAAATCATGTATTAACCAGCTCAACTATGTACACTGCATAAAGGTTATGACAATTTCTTGTAAAATAATAAAAGTATCTCGTATAATTGATTCTTTTCATTGTTTCATAAAATTGCTTTGTTTGATTGCGGAGTTTGGACTGAATTTTCATTACCTACTTCTGAACAATTTACACTGGGATTGAGACAGTATTGAGCTAATGAGTTAGAATTTATATTGAGCCTTAACTGTCTTCATGAAGTAACTAGGGAAAGAAAATCATGGCAATAATGGAGTATTTTTCATTATAAACTATGTTGTACAGCGTTTACAATCAGGTTTTTAATAGATCTAGAGAAATTAAATTGGAATTCTACCAACTTTTGTGCTTTTGTCATCCCGTGAAAACGATGTTAAAAAATGTCAAGACTGATGTGCTAATCCCGTTTCTACTGAAGTAAGGAGGAGGTAGTATTAGTCCTGTTGTTTTTCAGGCCCTGTTGTTCTTTAAGAAGTAAGATGTGTATAGAAAAACATTTGGAAGTATGCACTTTGCTGTAATCCCTAGTGCTAATTAGAAATTGAGTGTAGATAATACAGATCTTGACTGGTGTTATCCTAAAGTCCTGATCAAGACAAACTCCCATGAAAACAGTAGAAACTTTCAAAGTCAGGAGGGTGAAATTGTGCTCTATATGAAAAAAGAAGCAATCATATATTGCTGATGTGTATATTAATACTGCTGACAATGCATGCATTTATACATCTTTATTAATATATTCAAACATTGTTTATTGATTGCATATGGTAAATAAACTCATACAATGAGTGTATAGATTACTTTGTATGCGTAAACATGCGTATACTGAATCTCAGCATTACACATAAATACACACCATGAATAATATAAGTCATCAGATTGGAAGGTTTTAAACTTTTCGTTATATATAAATGTACAAATGAATAATGTTATATGAATTTTTAGTATTGTCATTTAATTATATCCTTCTGCTTAGTTCTTTGGGTGGTTTTTATGAGGAGGTCTGCAATAGTGAAAAAGGGTATTTCTCAAATATGTGACTTATTGCTTGTCTCAATGCTTATTTGTCCGTATTCTTCCCTGATGTTAGTCCTTTCCACTACCAGAAGACTGAAGGAATTGATTAATAGTCCCTTACATTTTAATTAATAATATGAAATAAAAATTCAATATACAAAATAGAATCATCAACCAAGCACATATACATGAAAGTTGGTACCTTCAATAAATTAAATTTTTAGTTATTTCCTAAATGTTTTTTTATTCACTAATACCAGAAGAAATGTGAAGGTAGTTTAAATTTTAATTGGCTAACAGGCAATTTTTTTTTTTTAGACATCATACGGGCAAAAATATCCTCTATGTATAAACCAAATACCATATGTAATTTTACTTGCTAAGAATGACAAAAACGTATGTGAAATATACATCAAACACTAACTTCATGTGAATGAGTACAACTATAATACCTTCCCCCAACCCACATATTAAAAAAAAATAAATAAAAAATTGCCACTTGCAAAACAGGTTAGATTGCTAGCCTTGCTTGTAAATTCAGACATCAAAAATTGGAGTCTTCCTTCATCCAAATAATATATATTCATTCCCCACAGGGAGCAGTGATGGTTCTTGGGATAAAGAAAAGCTTCAATCTCCCCCAACCCAAGGATCACAGGCCTCTGTTAACCACCCCAACTTGCCTGGACAGCATAATGTTCCCGTTAGCCATCCTCTCAACCCTCTTCAACAGAACCACCTTCTGCCAAATGGTACGGGTTGACATCTTTCAGCACTAACATTAGCAGTTCTCCAATTCCTGTCTTTGCGTTTATATAAATAGGCTATGAAAAATCAAAGATGTGGGGAATATTGGAATACTTCCTTTAAAGTATTAAGCAGGGGAAATGGAGACAATAAAGCATAAATACATATGCAATAAAATTGATACTTAAAATAACTGCTAACCTGTGCATCAGTGGCATAATAATGCATTGCTAAGGCACCTTACAGCAGATATTAAAAAAGATAATAAACAGCCATTGCTTAGCAATGATATCATACATTACACTGATACAAACAAACTAAGAGGTCTAATAGCCTCTCTTTGTGGCTAGAAACCCTCTATGGTTGCTAGTGATTTACCCATGCATATCCTGGAAGAGAACTGGCATGTAGCTGCTTTGTCCTGCAATGTGAACCATCTTGTCACCCATCACTTGAATATTGTCCATCAGGAGGAAAAAAGACAACGTTCTAAAAAGATACATAAACCTGTTTCCCCTTTTTTTTCTCCCACTAGGATTGGAACTTCCTTTTATGATGATGCCCCACCCATTAATTCCCGTGAGCCTACCTCCAGCATCTGTCACGATGGCAATGAGCCAGATGAATCACCTTAGTACCATCGCCAACATGGCAGCAGCAGCACAAGTGCAGAGTCCTCCATCCAGAGTTGAGACATCTGTTATTAAGGTAACTATATATGGAAAAAAAAAATTAAAAAAAATTCTAGTGCACTCACAACTGTCATCAATATTATAAAGGTGGGTATGTGTCACATGTTATAAGGTAAGTCATAAAGTCAATAGGTATAAGAAACCCAACTGTTGTAGCTCTGGGAACACAGTAGGCTGCTGGTGGCCCATATTATCTTCTCAGTTCTTCTCCCTCTCTCTAAATCGGTATTAAAACAGTGCTCAAGTTGAAGCATTTTCATACAGAATACACAGCTTTCTGGTTTCTCATATTTCATAGGCTGTCATCTAACGGCAGTATTCCTCAAGATATCAAGGAAGAAACTTCTTCCTTCTTAAATTAGAAAGGACTGTTCTTCCAACATTTAAACCTAAGCATTTGAACTAAAATGCTGCAAATTATCTGAACAAGGCTGAAAGGCTTGATACTTTACCTGTGCAGAATCTAAATTTCCGAATCCTGGAACAGAATGAAATGAAGTTGCACAGGGCAGACCCAGTAATCTGCCAGCCAGAACTATAGTATTGTAGAGATATCACAAAAAAATCTGATATCTGAAATTGTTTACCCATTTTAGGTTTTGTTTGCTGCTCGTAACTAAATCTGGTTATAGAGGTATTTAGCAGACGCATGGAGTCTTCTCTCCTTCTTACTGAAAATGATCTGTTTTCATTATAAAGACATTTCCCTCTACCACTAGACATTTGTAATTTGATTTGACATTAATTCAGATATCTACATTTTACCTGTTATCCTTCTTTAGTTCTAATAAATGAGATACAGAAAGTACACAAACTTTAGTGCTTTTATGTAACATTCATATGTTAGAAATAGACATGCAAAGGCAAGAATATTTGATATTTTAGGGCTACGTTGGAAATCTGTCCATTAATGCAATTCCTTTGACAAAAAAAGGATAAACTTAAAGTCTCGTGGACCTTCAGATTGAGAATTGCCAAAGTTTTGACATTCATGATGATTTAAGCAGAGTGAAAAGGTCTGGCTATTAAGACATTGAACATGCTTGTGCTCCTGTCCTCTTTAACCTAATAAGCCAAGAATCATAAAGAATCATTCAGCTAGAAGTCAACACATCTATGTTGCTATCGACCTACAAAAATGTGGTCTGATGACCTTTTTTAGGTACCTGCACCTTCAAACATAAGATCTCCTTTGGAGACCTTCAGTGGCATCCCTTTCTCACCTTTGATGACATGGGGAGTTAAGGCATGAGTTTGAGATGAATCATTAGTTTAGATGCTGTGTCAGGAAGGCTAGATTCCACCCCTAATGTCCATCTTGTCCATATCTTGGGAATATAAACATACTGCTGCTAACTGTTCGATTATATGGTGATTTCTGCACCTTTGTTTTTCTGTTTTCGCTTGAGCAGTATTTCATAAGAGGTACATGATACTCAGGTTCTATATTTGTTTTGTTAATTGAAACAGTGACCACTGGTATTACAGAGGTATCTAAAAAATGAAGATTGGGATGAAGCACATGCTAAATGACACCTGAGAAGCATGAATTACTATGTCAACAAAACTTTGTTTTCACTATTTTTCCTACTTTTTTCCTCTCTTTCATTTTCTGTGAGCTATTTTGTTTCATATGCGAGAGTACAAGATTTTACCTTCAAAAGCATTGGTAACCTTCTTTTTCTAAATTTCGACAAGCTGACTTCTAGCTAGTTCTAGCTAGCAAAGTGGCCTAAGTTACTGTGGCCTGCATTTAAATATGTCTTTGGGAGCATACCCCAATGTGACCCCTGATCTTTGTCTCCAGTTACCAAAATCAGGTACTTTTGGAGTACAGCAAAACTCCTAGGCTATGTAAAAAAGATTTCCTGTTGTGGAAGGCAGGTCTTGATGTGTTCACGTCTCACTCCATACTGAGAAGTACTTCTGGCTCATCTGATCTCAACTTGACTAGCAGGTTTAAAAGTATTGGACTCTGAAAGGGAGACTCTGTCATGATGTAACATGTTAGCCTGTAACAGAAGATTTCCTTATCCCAGAGTTCCTTAACTTCTTAAAAAATTCATTCTTGTAACTCATCTAATTGGAAAGATAGTTTCATAGATTCATAGATTCATAGATTTCTAGGTTGGAAAAGACCTTAGAGATCATCGAGTCCAACCATCCCTAATCCCCATTAAACCATATCCTCAAGTAGCTCATCCACCCTATTCTTAAACACATCCAGGGATGGGGACTCAACCACCTCCCTGGGCAGCTTATTCCAGTGGCTGACAACCCTTTCAGAGAAGAAATACTTCCTAACATCCAACCTGAATCTCCCCTGACTAAGCTTATGCCCATTTCCTCTTGTTCTATCACCCATCACTAATGTAAAGAGCCCTTCCCCTACCTCCCCACCATCTTTTCTCAAGTATTTATAGGCCGTAATCAGGTCTCCCCTCAGCCTCCTCTTCTCCAGGCTAAACAGCCCCAACTCCCTCAGCCGCTCCTCATAAGTTTTATTTTCCAGCCCCTTGACCAGTTTAGTTGCCCTTCTTTGGACTCGCTCCAGGAGCTCAATATCTCTCTTAAAGCGAGGGGCCCAAAACTGGACACAATATTCCAGGTGCGGCCTCACCAGTGCCGAGTACAGGGGCAGGATCACTTCCCTGCTCCTGCTGGTCACACTATTCTTGATACATGCCAGTATCCCATTGGCCTTTTTGGCCACCTGGGCACACTGCTGGCTCATATCAAGCCGGTAGTCATTATAGTCTAGGTGAAGATTTTGAAAATAACCTAGCAATCTCAATTCTCTGTTCGAAACATTTTTAGCAGCACTTTATAACTGGATTTTTTTTTCAAAATCTTGCTTATTTAAGCATTTCTTTGTATTAATAATCGATACTATTTATCTCTGTCATTTCTGAAAATTCAACTATCCCTATTCATGCTAATAATATTTTCATCATAGCTGCTAGCTTTTGTGCAGCTCCTGGCATAACATCTTGTGCAAGTTATTTAACAAACCAGGTTCGTGTTCCCATCTGGTTTGCACATAACTATAAAATAAAAATATGTGGATTTACAATGAAGTGTTTTTAAATGGTCAAATTAACCAAAGTCCTGTTTAGAAAAGTGTGCTCGCTCAAGGATGAAATACACATTTTTTAAGGTTTTTATGATTAAGTTCATATTTTTTGGACATTTACGTAGAATCTAATGGAAACACTCAGTGCTGCAGAGTTCTTCAGTCAAGGCCTGTGACATACTGCCCACAATACGTTTATACTAAAGGAAATATATGAATACAAGTGTTAATCTGCCATCCAAAACTTACTTCTAAATGTAAGATCTTGCTACACATAATTATTTCAATAATACAGTAAGGGCTCAGGAACTTACTCTTATAGGACTTTCCTACTCTTTCCTTCAGCCCCTTTGTGGTACAACATATGTCTAGATTTATGTCCTCTGTTTTTGTCTGTGGCAGATGAATGTGGTCATGTGAGTACGGATAGTATGGCCAAGTAATTATGCTTCTATTTTTTAATACTGAACAGGATTGAAATGTAAACCCCAGCAACATAAAAGCATGAGGTCATTGTTAGAGGGATTTTCTTCCCAGGAGCATGGACATAATGTCACTGGCAATTTACCTGTTCCTCACTAGACTTCATCAGATGCTGTGATTTTAGTGTCCATTGAATTATGTGCACTGAGTAGTTGAGCAGGAAACTCTCTAATCAGCAAACTTTTTGAACCTTGCACTGGCAATGCAAAGATTATGAATAATAACAAGCTACAGTCAAAATAAATATCTTCGAGAATAGGTGTAAGTGAGAAGGTCAAAGCTCCTTTTTCTTTGTTTTTACAGGAGTGGATGAATAGTGGAGTTGCTCTCTTTCACAAAGCTGTTTGTTACTAGAGTCGTATCTTCCTTTCTTTTACTGCTGCATTTTTAGACGTTTTGATTTTGTTTTCATTATCTTCTGGCTCATTTTTTTTAATCCTAGTTTTACTAAAATGGTTTTCCTCAGGGACAATGCTTCCACAAGCTGATTCCACAAGTTTGTGAATCACTTGTCTTGGAGTTCATAGTTGTAACCTGAAACAACGGTGTAGATTTGAAATTAGTACAAGATTTTTAAAAGTTTAAACTCTGCTTGAAAGTTAGGACACCTGGGAGAAATTTCTACTCTGAAAATTAAATCAAGAGTAACCTTGTCTAATTAAGTAACAAAGAACAAAAGTAAGTCTTAGAAAATCTCAGTCTTCAGATTATAAACAACCTAGTTCATTGGATAGAAGAATTGCCTTTGTAAACAGTGCCACAGCAGGTCACTTGCTGACCTTTCTGTCCAATTCACCAAGTTCGCAGTTAGTGCTGTTATCTTTATACTCACAAAGCTTCAAATGCCTTTCTATTACTGGGCAGTATTTTGTTTCTTAATGATAAGAAGATGGAATAAAGCTGAGATCATGTACTAACCAAACATTTTATCCTGCTATGTTCAGGAAATGAGACAAAGACAGAATTACAAGGGAAGCCTTACGAAGCAACACCTTAGGTTTGGCAGTGAACTCTGAGCTCTGAAATCTTCAGATTTCTATTTCAGAAGAGTGTTGTGCCCTTTCGAACATGAGACGAACATTAGATGTCTTTTTGTAGTGGAATGTTTAGATATGTGAGTTGGATGAATAGGAGGAGAGCAACAACAAGCAGGGACAGCAGACTGTGACAGCAATGAATTGCAGTGAGTGTGACAGCTGTGACCTGGGGATGCTTTAGACATGAGGTGGCTTTCATCACCTGCCCATGGTTTCAAAGGCTCAGCTTGTTAGCAGTTTCACTGCATCAATTTTTTTCACTCAGCAGAACGATATATGAAAATACGAAGAACATACCTCATATTAATAGCAACTTGAAATAATTCTACATTATAATAGTTAAAACAGAGCAGCATGCCAGAATCAAAAATTGCACTTTATCTATATAATGTTATTAATACTTATAGAAAGATTTAAGAATAA